CAAGTCCTGAAAGAAAATAACCTTCAGCCCTGATTGATATGTCCTGAAAAACTGTCTCTAGAAATTAATGGAGAAACAAGATGTTTCATGACAAAGAGGAACTGGGGGAATTTGCGACCACCAATCCAACTGAACAGAGAATATTGAAAGACATTCTAGAGAGAGAAAGAAAAATACCAAGATATCAGGAACAGTGGCAGAGAGGCCTCAATGAATGGAGCATACTGTGGGATGAAGGAGAAAAGTAGACAATCAATGGCAGAAAAATAGCATAACAGAAATGAGGCAGAGAAGGTTGGCTCTAATCTCTAACATAGATGGCCTTGATACACTAAAAAAGAAAAGAAAAGAAAAAAAGAAACACAAGTAGAGTAGATCAGGAGATAGGGTCCACTGAGATGCTCTCTATAGGAAATATAATTAACCTGAAAAAGGGTTTATGGGCCAAAAATCAAATATGAGAAAACAATGCTCTATGTGACAGGAAACCAGAGAGAAATAGGGGCAACTCGACCAGCACCTGCAGATAGGTTGGAAATACAGGATACTTATGTGCAATAGAGAACTACATAGCTATAATGAAGGAAAACCTTGAGGCCTTTGGAGGTAAAAGAATACAACTTAAGATCAAGTCCACAAGTTAGAAGGATCAGAACCACATTGGTAAATAGTAGGTTGCCCCTCTAATCTGAAAACTGATGGAGTTGGTGGGACCCAACATGCACAGTGTACCCTGTGAAAGAGGAGGAATAGTCTAAAAAAAGAAGGCAGAGGATATTGTTAATAGTGTATCAGAACGTAAAAACCACATTACTCACACTGCTCTGTTTAGATGGATTATATTCTGTTCCAGTTTGTCTACTTGTACTAGATTTGAGAGCATAGACAGCTATCTCAAAAATGGCAGGATATAGTTCAGTAATCATCTTTAATTTGCTATTAACTTAATCTGAAGCCTTGTATAACTTACACTGTTTTATCATGACTGATTTTAGTCGGATCTAGTTTGTTATATTGCTGTTTTGTACTGACAGTTTTCAGATTAGGGGGGAAACCTACTATTTACCTAAGTGGTTCTGATCCTTCTAACTTGTGGACTTGATCTTAAGTTGTATTTCAAATCTGTAATGATGTGGACTTGATCTTAAGTTGTATTTCAAATCTGTAATGATTGATTGTATCAAGTCTGAGACTATAGGCAACTACACTGAAGATGACAAGATTCACTAGGATACCCAATCTGGTTTATTACCTGCTTTTGAAGTTTTACACTGTCTACAATGTTTTGTTTTTATTAATATTGTTATGTACTGCCATATCAATTATGCTATGTCTGATGATATGGACAATTATATTGAAGATAACAAGAGACAACACAGTAACCATTGTAGATCACCTTGTACTGTGGTTTTATATGACTTTTTATTTCATGTTTTTATAGGAATTCGTTGTTTGTTTTGCTTTTCCCTCTAATACAGAAAGGATAGATATACATGTGGAGACTGATGCATGCATAGAACCTATAAACAATTTATGAGAACTGATCATATAATGCATGATGAAATGAACAACTATTTTAAAGAAAAAGACACACTACAGTATTCAGTGCTGATTCCATAGCATCATGATGTGAAATCCAGAAATACTATTATTTTTTATTCAGAGTGATTTTAGCCTGTTTGGTTTTGTTTAGTTTCAACATACATGAAGGTATGGACAGCTATTTCGAAGAAAATGACAGATACTATGACAGCCATTGTTAACTTCCCTATTGTCTGACTTTGAAGACTTAAAAATGCCTTTCTCATTTTGTTCATTACTACGTTGTTTCGTGTAATTCTCTGTATGTGAAGATATGGACAACTATTTGGAAGAAAACAGACAATACGATAGACAGTTAAGATCTCTGATTGTCTTGCTTTGAAATTCATGTCTCTTACATTGCTTTCTTATGTTTTGTTTTGTTGTGTTTAATTTTATACTCTTTAAAATACAAAATAAACAAAATCCAGCAATATACTATATACAAGAAACACACCGAACTCAAAAAGAAATTCATAGACTAAAAGTTAAAAGATGGAAAATAATACTCCATGCATTAGGAACTCACAAAAAAGCAGAGGTAGCTAGTCTGTTTGCAGACAATGTGAACTTTAAACCAAGAATGATAAAAGGGTTAAGGAAGGTCACTATATACTTGTTAGGGGGAAACTTTAAGAGGAAGAGATGACAATCATAAATATGAATGCAGCAAATATAGGAGCACCTAACATATAATACCATTATTAATAGACATGAAAAATTGAATAAGCAATAACACAGTTGTAATGAAAGACCTTAATAACCCATTGTCAAAGAGGTAGTTCAACTAGACAAAAAATTAGCAAAGAAATACAAGAACTCAACCAAACCTGTGAACAAATGTGCTTAGTAGATCCTTACAGAGTGTTCACCCTACAACATCCGAATATACATTCTTCTGAGCTGCACATGGGACATTCTCTGAAATAGATCATGTACCAGCCCATAGTACATGCTTAAGTAAATGCAAAGGAACTGAAATTATCTCATGCATATTGTATAATCATAGTGCAAAGAATCTGAAAGTTAATGGCAAAGAAACTGCAAAAACTCCATAAACACATGGAAATTAAATGACACCCTACTGCACAAACCAATGGGTCACAGAGGAAATTAAAGAAGAGATTAAATGATAAGTACAATCAAACAAAAATGCAAATACAACTTATTGGAACCTGTGGGACTCAGTGAAAACAGTCCTAAGAGGGAAATTTATAATAGTAAATTCTCACTTCAGGAAAACAGAATGACCACAAATAAACAACCTAATGTTGCACCTCAAGCTTCTAGGAAAAAAAAAGAGAAAGACAAATCCAAAGCCTACACAAGGGAGGAAGCTATAAAGTTCAGAGCAGAAATTAACACAATTGACATTAATTAAACAATACAGAGAACTAATGAATCTAAGAGTTGATTCTTTGCAAGGATAAATAAATTTGATAAACCCTTAGCCAAACTTTTCAAGAAAAGGAAAAACTCAAATCCATACATTGAGGAATTAAAAGGCTTACATCACTACATATACTGTGGAAATTCAAATCTTCAGTAGCTGTTGTGTATATGTTTACTCGCATAGGATGGAAAACACAGAAGAAATGGACAGATTCCTAGATACTTACGAATTACCAAAGCTGAATCAAGAAGATATAAAAATTTTGAATAATCTAATAGCAGTTAGTGAGGTTTAAAAATGTAATTTAAAACTTACTAACAAAGAAAAGCCTGGGTCCTGATGGATTTACTGCTGAATTCTACAAGAAATTAAGAAAAGATTTAATGCCAATACTCCTGAAACTCTTTAATGAAATTGAAAAGGAAGTAATAATGCCAAAATCATTCCTGAAAGCAAGTATTATTCTGATATCCAAATCAGAGAAAGACCTAGTCAAAAAAGAAAATTACAGTCCAATCTCCCTAATGAATGTAGATGCAAAAATCCTCAATAAGATACAATCAAACAGAATTCAGCAAATAATCAAGAAGCTCATACACCATAGCCAGATGGAATTCATCCAGGAATGCAGGGATGGTTCAACATACATGAATCAATAAATGTACTACTCCATTACTAACAGGACCAAAGACAAAAATCACATGATCATCTCAACAGATGCAGAAAAAGCTTTTAATAAAATCCAACACTCATTCATGATAAAAAAAAAAAACTCTAGAGAAAATCAGAATAGATGGTTCGTACTTCAGTATGATAAAAGCCATCTATGGCAAACCAACAGGCAATATCACCTTAAATGTACAAAAACTGAAAGCTTTCACTCTTAAATAAGGAACAAGACAAGGATGTCCACTATCACCACTTCTATTCAATATAGTTCTGGAAATATCAGTCAGAGTAATTAGACAAGAGAGAGAAAAAGGAATAAAGTTAGGAAAGGAAGAAGTTATCATTATTCACAGAGGACATGATACTCTACATAGAAGACCCCAAAAACTCCACCAAAGGACATAGATTTAATAATCAAATTCAGTGACATAGTTGGATACAAAGTCAACACCCAAAATAACCAAATTCAGTGGCATAGTTGGATACAAAGTCAACACCCGAGAATCAATAGCACACCACAAACAAACACCAGTCTCACAGAGAAATTAGGGAAGCAACACCCTTCACAATAGCATCCACAAAAATGAAATACTTAGGAATCAGTATAACAAAGGAAGTATAGAAAAATCTATACTTTGAAAATTACAGTACTCTGAAAAAAGATTAAAGATGATATCAGAAAATGAAAAGATATGCCTTGCTCATGGATAGGAAGAATCAAGATAGTAAAAATGACCATACTCCCAAAATTGATACACAGATTTCTTGCAATTTCAATCAAAATATCATTAGCATACCTCATAGAACTAGAGAAAACATTCCTAAAATTCATTTGGAACCAGCAGAGACCTAAAATATCAAAAGCAAATCTGGGCAACAAAGACAAGGCAGGAGGCATCATAATCCCTTACAAAGGCACTGTGATCAAATCAGCAAGGTACTGGCAACACCCCCACCCCCACCCTGGAAAACTCAAAACCAAAAACCAGACATGAGGAGCAATGGAACAGGTTAGAATACACAAACACAATTACAAACACACTCAGCCACCTTATTTTAGACAAAGAGGCCAAACATGTTCACTGAAAGCAAGACAGCCACTTTAATAAATGGTACTGGAAAAAACTGGCTCTCTATATGCTGAAGACTAAAACTAGACCCAAGCCTATCACCATGCACTAAACTAATGTCAAAATAGAAAACAAAATGTATATGTATACTACTAGTAGTTATACTACTAATTTCTCTTAGTTCATTGGAGAGAAAGGTTTGTGCTTTTACTATCTGATCAATTTTTCATGTCTGTATCTTGTAATCTAAGCAACTACTTTGAGGATAATAATTTCAAAGCACTTACCACTATTAATCTCCTATTATCTTGTTTGGAAACTTTGTCAGGTGCCTAGCCATTGGTGTGCAGAGGAGGGGCTGGGCGGATCTGGGGTGCCTGCATCAGCCTCTCTGTGTGTTTGGAGGACTGTGGATAGCTCTGCAAGCAGGGAGGGATCGCAAGTTCCTGAGGCACTGCGGCCTGTGGTGAGTGCTCAGCACACTCTGTCCAAATCTCAGACTGTTCCGGACCCTCCAGGCTTCCGGGTGCAGTGAAGTGGAGTAGTGGGTTTGAGGCCTCTACATCTGCCTCCCCATCCTGGCTGCACTTGGAGAACTGCTGAGCTTCCAACGGGTGGGCGGGTCCACACTATCCCCGGAGCCCAGCCTGTTTCGCTGCCGTGCCTAGCCATCGGTGTGCAGAGGAGGGGCTGGGCGGATCTGGGGTGCCTGCATCGGCCTCTCGGTGTGTTTGGAGGACTGTGGATATCTCTGCAAGCAGGGAGGGATCACAGGTTCCCGAGGCACCGGGGCCTGTGGTGAGTACCCTAACCCGGCTGCGATTGGAGAGCTGTGGAACTTCCAAGGGGCAGGTGGGTGCACAGTGTCCCTGAGGCCCAGCTGGTCTGGAACTGTGGAGTTCTGAGCAGGCAGAGGAGGGCCATTGGTTCTGCAGGCCCAGTGGCTTGGGGTAGCGTGGTGCCAGAGTCTCAGTAGCTGCAAACATAGAAGGAGATTTCCAACAGATCCTGAGGAAGCTTTCAAATAACACTTGAAACACAGAAATATAGGAAAATGACAAAACGAAAGACCAAATTACAACCTCAAACCTCCAGCCCATCTCAAGAAACCCTAGGAGTAATGTATATAGAAGAAAATATATGCCATCCGCCTCAAATATTGGACACAATAGCTACTGAAATTGACAAGCAACTCCAGGAAGCTTTAAAGAAATTCAAACTCGAAATAATCTCCCAGATAAAAGAAGAAATGATAAAAGAAATGAAAGAGATTCTGAATATATCTAAAGAAAACACAGATAAAAAATTGGAGGAAGTAAACAAAAAGATAGAATCCCTAGACGAGCAATATAAGAAACAAACAGAATACATAATGCAGATGCACAGAGATATACAGGAAATAAAAAACTCCACTGAAAGTTGTAAAAACCACCTTAATGAAAGTGAAGATAGAATTTCAGACCTTGAAGACAGGATTGCAGCTAGTGAACAGGAAAGGAAAGATCTTTTAAAAATAACAAGGAATCAGGAAACAACAATTCAACAACTGCAAGATGATGCAAAGAAGAATAACATAAGAATGATAGGGATTAATGAAAAAGAAGGAGACAACATAAAGGATGTCAAGAGGATATTTAGAGAAGTAATAGCTAAAAATTTCCCAAGCATGAGATCAGAAACTGACATCAGGATCAGTGAAGCATATAGAACAGCAAATAGTCATAACCAAAATAAAACTACACCCAGACATATAATAATCACCATCCCAGAAATCCAACACAAGAATAGATTATTAAAAGCTGTCAGAGAGAAAAGACAGATCACTTATAAAGCAAAACCTATCAGAATCACAGCAGACTTCTCATCACAAACAATAAAGTCAAGAAGAGCATGGAGTGAAGTATTCCAGATCCTAAAGCAAAATGATTTCCAACCAAGACTGATATATCCTGCAAAACTATCATTCAAAATTGAGGGTGAACTACGATATTTCCATGACAAAGAACAACTGAAGAACTTCATGAACACCAAACCAACCCTGCAAAAAATATTGAAAGACAGTTTAGATACACAAAGGAAAAAACCACTAAGCAAAGCAAATAATTAAACAGAACAGAAAGATAAAGATGCAACAGCAGAGAGATAACATTCCTACAATTAACCAGCATTTAACAGTAATAACCATTAATGTAAATGGTCTCAATGCACCAATCAAAAGAAACAGACTAGCAGAATGGATCAAGAAACAAAATCCAACCATATGCTGTTTACAGGAAACCCATCTAACCCAGAAGGATACTCACAGACTGAAAGTCACAGGATGGAAAACAATTATTCATGCAGCAGGAATGCAAAAAAAGGCAGGAGTAGCCATTCTGTTTGCAGACAACATGAACTTTAAACCAACAATGACCATAAAGGACAAAGAAGGTCACTACATACTCGTAAGGGGAAAACTCCAAGAGGAAGAGATAACTATCTTAAATATATACGCACCAAACTCCAGAGCACCCAGTTATATAAAACAATTATTAACAGAAATGAAAACTCAAATTATCAGTAACACAATTGTAACAGGAGACCTTAATATACCATTGACACCAAGGGACAGATCAACGAGACAGAAAATGAGCAAAGAAATAACAGAACTGAATCACACCTGTGAACAAATGCGTTTGATAGACATATACAGAATGTTCCACCCAACAACATCAGAATACACATTCTTCTCAGCAGTACATGGATCATTCTCTAAAATAGACCATATATTAGCTCACAGAACATATTTAAGCAAATGCAAAAGAGTTGAAATCATCCCTTGCATGTTATCAGATCATAGCGCTCTGAAATTAGAAATTAATGATAAAAGATACTGCAAAAATCCCGCAAACACATGGAAACTGAATAACACACTCTTGAGTAATCACTGGGTCACAGAAGAAATTAAACATTACCTAAAAGAAAATGAAAATGTAGATACAACTTACTGGAATCTGTGGGATGCAATGAAAGCCGTCCTGAGAGGAAAATTTATTGCACTGAGTTCCCACATCAGGAAAACAGAACGAATACAAATAAATAACTAGATGCTACACCTCAAACAGCTAGAAAAAGAAGAGCAAGTCAAGCCCAAAGCCAAAATAAGAGAGGAAATTATAAAAATCAGAGCACAAATCAATGCAATAGAGACTAAGAAAGCAATCCAAAAAATCAATGAATCAAAGAGTTGGTTCTTTGAAAGAATAAATAAAATCAATAAGCCCCTAGCCAACCTTATTAAAAAAAGGGAAGAAAAAGCTCAAATTCATGCAATAAGAAATGAAAAAGGTGAAATCACTACAGACCCAATAGAAATACAGAAGATCATCAACACCTATTTCGAAAACCTCTACTCTCAAAAGTTTGATAACACAGAAGAAATAGACAGATTCTTAGAGGCATATGAAGTACCAAAGCTAGATCAAGAGGATGTAAAACTGTTGAATAACCCAATCTCTGTTAATGAAATTGAAAATGTAATTAAGTCCTTACCCACCAAGAAGAGCCCAGGCCCAGATGGATTCACTGCAGAATTCTACAAGAAATACAAAGAAGACCTAATGCCGACACTCCTCAAACTATTCAATGAAATTGAAAGGGAAGCAATCCTTCCTAAGTCATTCCTGGAAGCAAATATTACTCTAGTACCAAAACCTGAGAAAGACCCAACTAAAAAAGAGAATTATAGACCGATCTCCCTAATGAACACAGATGCAAAGATCCTCAATAAAATATTGGCAAATAGGATGCAGAAAATCATCAAGAAGATTATACACCATGACCCAGTGGGATTCATCCCAAGAATGCAAGGATGGTTCAACATACATAAATGAATAAATGTAATCCACCATATCAATAAAGCCAAAAATAAGAATCACATGATCATTTCTATAGATGCAGAAAAAGCTTTTGATAAGGTCCAACATTTATTCATGATAAGAACTTTACAGAAAATTGGAATAGATGGTCTTTACCTCAATATAATAAAGGCCATTTATGACAAACCAACAGCCAGCACCATACTAAATGGCCAAAAATTGAAAGCCTTTACTTTAAAATCAGGCACAAGACAAGGATGTCCTTTATCACCACTCCTATTTAATATAGTACTGGAAGTACTAGCCAGAGCAATTAGGCAAGAAAGAGAAATAAAAGGGGTAAAGATAGGAAAAGAAGAAGTTAAATTATCATTGTTTGCAGATGACATGATACTCTACATAGAAGACCCCCTAAACTCCATTGAAAGACTCTTAGATACAATAAATAAATTCAGTAATGTGGCTGGATACAAAATCAGTACTCAGAAATCAATAGCATTCCTATACACGAACAACAAAATCACAGAGAGGGAAATAAAAGAAAATGGACTATTCACATTAGCAAGCAAAAAAATGAAATATTTAGGAATTACTCTTACAAAAGAAGTGAAAGACTTATACAGTGAAAATTATAATACACCGAAAAAGGAAATTGAGGATGATCTCAGAAAATGGAAAGACATCCCATGCTCATGTATAGGAAGAACAAACATTGTGAAGATGGCCATTCTCCCAAAACTGTTATACAGATTCAATGCAATCCCAATAGAAATACCATCAATATACCTTATAGATCTAGAGAAATCACTCCTAAATTTCATCTGGAACCAGAAGAGACCTAGAATCGCAAAGGCAATTCTAAGCAGCAAAGACAAAGCAGGAGGCATCATAATCCCTGACTTGAAGTTATACTACAAAGCAACAGTAGTAAAATCAACATGGTATTGGAATCAAAACAGAGCCGAAGATCAATGGAATAGATTAGAAGATACAACCACAACTACAAACACATCAACCACCTTATCTTTGATAAAGGAGCCAAGCAGGTTCATTGGAAGGTTCATTCTCTTTAATAAATGGTGCTGGAAAAACTGGCTCTCCATTTGCCGAAAACTAAAGCTAGACCCATGTCTATCACCATGTACTAAATTAAAATCTAAATGGGTCAAAGATCTGAATATTAAAACAGAAACACTAAATCTATTGGAAGACAAATTGGGTAGAAACCTTGGAGACATAGAAGTAGGTAGAGAATTCATGAACAGGACTCAAACCACACAGGAAATACTTCCCAGAATCAATAACTGGGACCACTTCTTATTAAAAAGTTTCTGCATGTCAAAAGAAATCTCCAGCATAGTGAAAAGAAAACCCACAAACTGGGAAAAAGATTTTAGTGAACTCTCTCTCACACAAGGGACTCTTGTCTAAAACATATAAAGAATTAAAAAAACTCAGACCCCCAAAATTCAAAGATCCAATCCAAAAATGGGCATCTGAGATGAATACGCACTTCTCAGATGAAGAAATGCAAATGGCAAATAAATACATGAAAAAGTGTTCATCATCATTGATCACTAGAGAAATGCAAATTAAAACCACACTGAGATACCATCTCACTCCTGAAAGAATGGCCAGGATCAAGAAAACCAACAACAACAAATGCTGGAGAGGCTGTGGGGAAAAAGGAACTCTCCTGCACTGTTGGTGGGAGTGTAGACTGGTACAGCCTTTGTGGAGGTCTGTCTGGAGATTTCTCAAAAAGTTGGGATTGGAAATCCCATTTATTCCAGCTATTCCACTTCTAGGCATATTCCCAGAAGAACTGAAAGCATCATACCACAGTGATATATGTGCACCTATGTTTATCGCAGCACAATTTGTAATCACCAGATCTTGGAAACAACCCAAGTGTCCATCAACTGAGGAATGGATAAAAAAGTTGTGGTATTTCTATACAATGGAGTATTATTCAGCTATAAAGAAGGACCACACTGAGATATTTATCAATAAGTGGGCGCAGCTTGAGACCATACTCATAAGTGAAATAAATCAATCTCGCATATGTGAATACCGAATAGTTTCCCTAATGTAAGTAATGATTCAAATATATAAAAAT